TATTTTGTTATATTACACAGCCTTATGCTGGTTTACTGTTTGCACATTGAGAGCCGATGTACCAGAGTCAAATTCCTCGTGTGTCCGTCACACCTGGCCAATAAAGATGATTCTGAGAGATCTCACAACAGCAACTGGGAGAAGGAGCCCTTCAAATCTGAGAGACCTGAAGCAGTTGGCAAAAGAAGAGTGGTCAAAAATTCCAGTAGAGATGTGAAAGAAACTCACTGATGGTTACAGGAAGTGACTGATTTCAGTTATTTTTTCCAGAAGGTGTGCTACCAAGTATTAAATTGAGGGTGTCAATAATTCTGTCCAGTCCATTTTTGGATTTCTTTGTGGAATGGATCGGATTTGGCTTTTTTCTCTGCTTTTTGTGTTGTTCCAATGCAAAACAAAAGAAATAAACATGAGAATACCAAAGATTTTGTGATTGCAACAGTTTACTGGGAGAAGTGGTGTGTTATCTGACAGAAATGCAGGGGTGCCAATATTTTTGGCCACGACTGTACGTACAGGTACTGGCACAATTATACACATTCTCACCTGAGGGTTAGTCCACAAAGCAGGATAAATGAAAACACTGAGTTTGTTCACCCTGAATTGAGGGAAACTGTGAGTTTTCTGTTCCAGAAACAGAGATCACCTGAAATGTGAGTCAGTTACCACAGAAACTTATTCTGTCAATCTAACCTCCTCCCTGGCCAACAAACCCAGACGTTCTCTCTGTCTCATTTTTCCTGCAGAGTCTGAAGAACTATAACATCTAGTGTACATTACTATGACTACTGTAAATAAAGTAATTTGTGTGAGACCCTAATCTATTATGAATCATTGCTTATGTTGTTGGAGATTTTGTGAATATTTGAGTGAAAATGTTTGTAGTGCAGTTTTAAAGACTTGAAAATCTTAAAACTGGACTAACTACAGTTTAAAAGTAGTTTTGAATATGCATACACAGTAATCATAACTTGTTTTAACAGAATTTCAGCGACTGTTCAAATTCACTACATGTTAAAATATGCTTATTAAAAGCAACTGAGGAAGATTTTAAAATGTATCTAAAGATGTACAGTTATTTTAACCGTGATGCTTTTCCAACTGTAAATCACCAACTTCATTCTTACTTCGTCAGCCTTTGAGGTTACTGTAGACTACAATCAGAGGGCTATAAATAAACTTGTGTCTTATCTGTCTGATTTCTTCTTCTGCTGTGAACAGTATTTTGTCCCCACCACCTTACAAAAGATAAATATAATTAAATTATTGTAACAGACAGTAGTATCCCAGCCCTTTACCATCCAAGTCTGCTAAACAAATGAATGAGTGGAATATGCTGAATAAAATGTAACAGTGATGTGACTCTGTTCTGTAGCTCAGGCTCTTTCGTTGCTGCTGCTGTTGTGTAATTTGAAGATAAGTGTGTATTATCACATACTAATATTTATAGCTCCATTGGATCAAAATGGAGACGGTACTCTTTATTTACTTGTTGCCATGGTGAATTGTAGTAACAGAAATCCACTGACAACTTTTTATAGTCACCACACACATGCTAAACTCAGGTGGAACATACTCAGAGCTGACTGATCTAACTCTGACCAGTTGTTCTGGATCCACACAGTTTTCCATCTCTGGGTTAATCAACTCAGAGGTAAGGGTTAACCTCAGAGTTTGTTGAACCTGCTTTCTGAAATACATGCAAAAAAATGTGTTTGCTTCTGCTCCATTGATTTTGATTCTGCCCATTGTGAGAGTAGATTATACACTGACCAGCCAGTTTAAGGACACCTGTACAATTGTATGCACTTCAATGCAATAATTCTGCCTTAACATCTGTGTTTATGAAGCTCAAAATGTTTCAGTTTTTGGTGAAATTGTCCTAAATGCATAAATTCAATTATGTTTATTACTGGGGTCATAGTTGAAGGTGGCGTTGTACTGGACTACATTGTATTCAGAGGTGTTCCTAATATTCTGACCCTCTCCTGTATGTAGCTGGTGAGGACAAAAACATAGAGACACAAATTTAGATACATTAGGGCTGTGTGTGACATCCTTCTCTCATTCACTGCTCCCTACCGTATCTAAACAGCCATCACTAGTTTACTCAGTAGTGAACAGTAAACTGAAAGTTTGGGCATTGATGATCATCATCATTTTGCATCATCACTGAGAGCCTTACAATAGAATCCTTCTAAAATACCATGCACTGCACTGTTGGATTGTTAGCAGAAAATGGAAATGTTTATCAATTCACCGTAGAGTTTTTGAGGACACTATATAAAGGCAACATTTTTCACCTAGTTGGGACACGGAAATAAAACGGTGCAGGGTAAACAGACTGCTGTACATGGTAAACAGGGAGTGATTCTGGATAAAGATCTGGAGTCTCTTTTGGTGCCAGCATTTGTGAGAGCTGAAGTAAACAGTGAAACTTGTGGTCAGTTCTGTTCCAGAAGAAAGAAAACCTCATTGAGAAGCACATTTACATTTATAATGCATTATACTAACAACTGAAAATCCAACCTCAAAACATGTTAATATATTAGGGAGCAAGTCCATGAATAGAAAAAAGATAGAAAAAAAAAATCCCTAACTCATTACATCCTGTCACCATGGTAACCAGGGTAATTATCTAATGATAGTCTTTTACAAATATGGTGAAATATGGTGTGATAATTTACAGCTGAACTTCTACACTAAGACAAATGTGAGAGCTAGTTCTCAGTGAATACAGTCTGTTGTCTGTAGTGAAGGATTTTATCAAAAGCTGTCAACTGTTGTTGAGTGTCATAATAAAATATGGCCACAGATGTAATTTGTATAATATTCTACATTACAAAGAACTTCTCTTTAGTAGACAGAGATATTTAGGTCAGTGTGTAACACAGCTTGACCGGAAAGGATGGAGATGATGGTGAAATACTTACGTTTATGTGGTGTCACCAACAGGTCCATTGTCTTTTGAGAGAGGCTGGGCCACACTGTCGACAGCTCCTTCTTTAGCTCAGCATCACATAATCGCTGGGCTACCATACCTAAAAATCCATAGGCATAAAGAGAGACTTTTAATCTCCTTTATTAAAACATATAGATGAACTGCCAGTCACAGGACAATAGTGGTTTTAAAATAAAAACGAGCCAGTGTATTTTCCCATAATGCCATAAAAACAATAGTCATGATGATAATTTGACCCTCATATATGACAGCTTGACTATGAAAACCTATTGCTGGCATTTGAAATGATGATGATATCTTTATTAGTTGGAAGGTTTTTCAAGAAAAACAATAGACATGACAGACATTCAGTCCTTGGTTTAGGGGACTTCAGTGAGTGGACAACAGGCAAAGTGGTGAAGATGTCATATTTCTGCAAGCTTGTGTTCTGTTGATAAACTGCTCATACAGTTTCTTTTACTGGCTGATTGTTGCACTTCAGGTCCTGTGCTCTCCCTTTGCCCAGCTGTGAGTGTGTCTCTCCTCTCAACAGAGACTGACATAGAAAAATAAAGTGGAAAAGCAAAGTAGGATGGTCCATGTCAACCAGTGAGGTTACGCCAGGTAACAGTAAAGGGAAGCACACGGTGTACCACCTGTTAGGTTCCAACAGTGGAAATGCAGCTATAATGTGCAGCTGGAACATTGATGTCCCCACTGACAGACTACTGTTCTCTGAACAACATGTAGCTGCCCGCTAGTAGAGCTAGCTTGGTCAGGTAACGAGCACTCACGTCTCTGGAAACATCAGAACAAATTCTAAACTGGCATTGCCTGGATAGACGGACCACATATTGGCAGTCTAAGTGGTTACTTTATTGCCTGAAAAAATGTCGAACCTGAATGAAATTGCATAATACCAGTGCCACAGATGAAAATGTTAACAGCTTTGAGCCTGGCTCAAAATCTCTGTGATCAGGCTCTGTGCTGTCGCTGAATAGAGTAGCTCTTTCCCCAGCTGTGGGCTGTCACCTCGCTGGATTCCTTCAACCCCCGTCTCACACAGTGCAGTGTACTGCGTGACAGCATTCAGTTTCCATTGACAGTGAATGGGCAGCTGTCACTAACCCAGAGTTTTGTCCCCATACTGTATGGGCTTGGAGTGCTCAGCAGAGTAGCAGTGCACTCTGGCCACAAGGGGGCTCACATACAGTCAACAGCCTTTCCAATACTCACAATGATGAATAGTCATTTAAAATATTCCTGTATCCAAATTATGACCGGCATCAACACCAAAATTTAATCAATTGTTCCATGGGCCATACCCTACCTCGCCAAAAAATGTCATCCAAATCCATTCATTACTTTTTGAGTTACACTGTTAACAAACAAACAAGCAAACACATGCCAGCAAAAACATAACCCCACCCTTGGCAGAGGTAAAAAGTCAAAGAAACATTTTTTAACCAGCTCATCCTAGATTTACAAGACAAAGCAAACAAAGCTGTAAATAAATTGTGGCTGAGGTGACTCAGGCTCAGGAGTAGAAGACCATTAAACCACACATAACACTGTTTAGCACTAAAAAAAGCACTAAGTCATTTTCTCAATATAAAAATAACATTCAGTATACATGTAATACTGTTTCATGTTTTTACATTAATGTTTATATATGTAACATAATGTAAAATAACAGTATCAATCATGAGTCAGATAAATTTGGCAAAATTATAAAAGCCATAAGTGCCATAAATGAAGAGCCACTTGGGAGCCAAAAAAAACTCTTATTGCTGAGCTGAGCCAAATGATCTATTATTTATTTTCTACATTTTTTTTCTCATAACTTCAGATTATAAACAAATTGAATAGTCACAACAAGTCACAAGAAGAGACTTGACTAACAGCAGTGGTAGAAGAAGCATTCCCATCCTTAAGTAAACATAATACAATAGTTTATAAATACTCTGTTACAAGTAAAAGTAATGGACTCAAAATGTTACTTCAGTAAAAGCACAAAGTAATTATTATGCAGAACGGCACATTTAACATGAATGTATATCAGTCAAGCCAATCCCAGCTGATATTGGGTGAGGCACGGTCCACCCTGGACAGGTCGCCAGTCACAACCACACACACTCACACTCACTCCTAGGGGCAATTCAGAGTCGCCAATCAACCTAAGCAGCATGTCTTTGGACTGTGGGAGGAAGCTGAAGTACCCGGAGAGAACCCACCCAGACACAGGGACAACAAGTAAAGTCAATTTATTTTATTGTATTTTATTTATTAATTTTATGATTATACTGTAATTTTGTATTAGTATGTTTCAGAAAAATAACTAGTAACTAAACATAACAAATACAGTGGAGTAAAAAGTACAATATTTGCCTCTAAAAAGTAGTGAAGTGGAAGTATGAAGTAGCACAGAATCAAAATACTCAAAGTACAGTATTTGAGTAAATGTACTTAGTTACTTTCCACCAATGGCTAGCAGAATTTTTTAATCTTCTTTATCAATTAAACTAGCTTTTCCAACCATAACCCTAGTCCTCTTGATCACGTTCCTAAAGTCTGCACCCAGACTACTAAGCAACATCCTAGATAACTAAAATATCTTAGCTGAAGTTCAAATTAGTTTCTGATTATAATAATTATTATGTCCTTACATGCTTATAATCCCATTTTGATGCCTTATAGTCACTGTTTCCAGAGCCAGAGTAAGTATTTGTTGCTTTGATTAAGTACTCTGTGGCCTTTTCATTTCATTTCAGTTCAGTTCAATTCAATTCAATTCAGCATTACTCAAAGCGAAGTAAAGTTATTTGTTAAAGTTATTAGTTATTCATAAAGTATTGTCATTTCCAGAGACAGAGAACCAGAGAGAAGGTCTTTCTGCTATACTGTAATCATGTGCATTGTGTTTCTCTGACCTGAGGCCAATTTGATCTCCAGGGCGGTGCGAATCAGGGCCATCAGCGTGGAGGTGAAGTGGACGGTGTTGTCATCAGCGATAGGCATGTTCATTTTGACAAGGCGCTGAAGAAAGGAGATGAGTGGTAAGAGATAGACATTAGAGCACTGAATGACAGCGAACAGCCTGATCAGAACATCGAATCCACCAAGAGAAATCAATCTGTGTGCTGCTTTGATCAAATGTCCTCCATGGACTAACTTGAGGTGTTTTGCAAAATTTAGTTAAATTTGTGCAAGATTGGCCATATTGATAAAGTGTTACTGTGACTTAGTTCAGCACACAAAAAGCCTTCTCTACAAGTACATACAGAGGAGACAAACTAGACATTCACATTCACTGCTATTGGCTACGGTATGCACTACAGTACATTGCAAGTCAAAGTGCACTGGTGCAAGACTGACACTGACTGAAATAAAGGTGAGAGAAGGCATGTAACGCATAACCATGAAGGTGCCTCGACAGTCGCAGGAGCTCGACTCTGTGGTTGCCATCCTAACAATCCTCAACTTGGAGTTGAGGGGGCTGAGTATGCTCTACATGTAGAATGGCAGCTAGCAATAAAGTGTCCATTCCACCAAGCCTGGAAAGCCTTAGCAGGAAGACTTTGTAGAGGACTAATGGCAGCACTAGATGCACATAGAAAGCTGTGGGATTGTTGCTATAAGAGTTGAGCTCCCCTGAACACAAAAAGCATTCACCTACATGTGCTATCAGTGGCAGTGCAGAAAATAAGAAAGACCAGAGGTCAGAGTGAGATGGGGATGGAGAGCTGAGGGACACACACACACACACACACACACACACACACAACCACACTAATTTGCATGTTGTCACACACTCACCAATAAATACATATACACACTGCTATGGGCTCTACAACCAATTACAAAGACTGCAATATCCACAGCTAGAAATTTCTAAAGAAAAGTAGCTTCCTAAGAATTCAGGGTAAACAAGATCCTTTATTATACTGCATACGTAAAGAGAATGTTAACCAGATTTTATTTGTAAACATTTTTACAGCCTAATACAAAACTATGAATAAGTTATAATGTGTCCATATTAAGTTTAAATGACCTCGTTCACACCTGACATCAACATGCAATCTGCATCTGGATTTGTTATCAGACATGACATCTGATTACAGGCCTTTGCATTTTCGCCTGATATTACCATCTGGGTTCTGCCTGTGAGTCAGTTACAACACGCACTATCACAGAGTCAGAGTTAGTGGACTAGTGCTCAGCAAACAGTGGGCAAAGCAAGAGTCACATGATAGACAAAGACAGCGGAAGGCATTAAGCCTCCAGTAACAGCTGGCCTTAAAAGACTGACTTCTGTATACAAAAGGAAAATCTAACATGATGACCACAAACAAATGAGTCTTTGTAATATGAAAATTTGATCATTTGGATAAAAACACAAAAAATGTAAAAGTTTCACAGAGCTTTATGGGTAAATTATTTTCATGGCATTCTAATGGTCATACTTTATGGGCATAAAAACATGGAGGCCAGAGGAGGTCTGGAAAACTTCTTTTGCCATAAACCCCCACTCAGCTCTAACTGGCACAGAATAAGCATGGCAGGCATCTGAAGACTACTTTTTTCTGTAGCCTTCTTAACTGTGTTACGCGTACTGTATACAGCTAATCAGAGCCAGGGGCTTACCAGTACTACTGCTAGATCTACTGTAGATACTGACCACATGCTGTATCAAAGTCTGGTTCTCATTGATCTCAATCAGTATTTAGCAATAAATAAAACAATGAATAAATACAATAGAAAAAATAAAAATCACTTTGACATATTTTGACAATGCTGTACAGCACTAGCATTCAATATATACACGCACACAAATATTTCCAACAATGGATAGACTGAGATGAGATGAGAGAAAGAATGAGAGGGGCAGCAAAGACAGAACCACAAAGTGAAAAGAACACAGAGAAAATATCTCACCCCACAAAAAGGCTTCACATAAACATACTCAGACGCACGCACACAGACAAGCAGACATACACACACACACACTGCTCCACAAAATAAAACCCTACAGTACCATTCAAGGAAAAAATTTTAATAAGGGAGCAAACGTCCTCCATAAACATGTCTTCATCAACTTAAAGTGTTCTTAGCTAAGCTCTCTTATTACTGTTAGTGATGGGTATTAGCCCACACAAGCAGCTATGATCAAAGAAACTTTAAGACAGCAAAGATGAGGTAGGGGCCTACACCAAAAATCTCAGTGCTAGCAAAACAAAGTGAAGAAACAAGGGAACACTGCAGAGCACAGACATTGGCCTGAGTTCGCGCCAATGGGAAATAGGTTGTTGAGCACAGGGAAGAAGGTGGAGCAAGTGGAAGGTCTACCTTGTAGGCGACTCTTGGCGGACATTTCTTTCCCAAACCTAAGGGTGGGGACATGTGGAGCAGCATCTGATACATATCGAGGTACTTGATACGGCCACTTCACAGGGAAGGAAACCAAACATAAACAAAATGCAAACAGAGAAGGATGGGGAGTTAGAGGAGGAGGAGAGGAACAAGGGGAAGAAATCAACACAACAAGAGAATAATGGAAAGGAAAAACAGAAATCTGTTGTTAATAGATTTCCTAGAGTGAGATGTAAGGTGGATGCCATCCTCGGCCGCTGTGTTGGGGCTCGGGGATGCATCGCTGTGGAGCTCAGGATCCCTGAGAGTAAACATAGAATGATAAAGAGTGAGTTTGGTGGAAGAGGGGAGGAGAGGAGAGAAGAAAGGGAAGATGGGTTGACTGAACACACAGGATGCTGATGAGAGGGAAGAGAAATGACAGCACTGTAATGGGGATGTCTGCCTCAGCATGCTTGCAGACATCCCACTGATACTTCAACCAGGGTGCACAGAGACAAAGGTTTCAAAGCCAGCCCGACCTCTCATTTGGGTCCTTCACTCATAGCCTGGCCTTCCTCTAGCATCCATCTTCATAAGAACATCAAGTAACATGAGGCTTTTAATCTGATTCAGATGTTTTAAGGATCTGAATGTAGTGAGTAAAATATTTTCAAGGTTCTTGTTGTAATAAACTGAAAGAAAAAGTAAGTAAAATGTGTCTAAACATTAGAGACAGGAGAAAGGTGGCATGGCAGGCGGCATGTTGGGACAATGCCATGGCTTTGAAAGCTTTATTTCCACTCCGGCATCATCAACCAAAGCCAGTCAGATTGGAGGGGCGGGTGCTAGTGTAAAAGGCGAATTCATTGGTGCACAGCCATTCAGTTATAAGTCTCTTGGCATAGAGGTACACAAAGCACCCTAGTGACAGAAATGTCTGGTATTTGCAAACCTTGTATGCTACCCTATTAGGGCAGTTCTTCCCTAAGCCAAGGGGGGGTGAGATAACGCGTAACAAATTGTACATATCCTTATAGGAAATCCGTCCGCTGCGGAAAAGAACAAGCACATAAATAAACAAACATTCAGGACAACTTAAAATAAATCAATGATCATCAGTGGGCTGACTGCACACAACAAGGTATAGGAACAAGGCCTGCGTATGAGGCCTTTTTCAGTCACCTTAGGGGAGGAGAGGAGAGGAGTAAGGTTAGGTTGTCTATTCGCTCCACTTTACTTTGTATGCTATTGTTTGGGGCTCAGAGTGAGGCTTGAACATACCAAGCTGCCGGGTCATACTCGGCCCAAACCCGGATGAACTCATCGAGATGATGAGGCCCCAGGATGGAGGAGTCCCTGGTTAGGTACTCAAAGTTATCCATTATGACAGCCACAAAGAGGTTCAGCATCTGGAACACACACATGGGGTTGAGTTGACACCGGTGTTTTGAACTGCTGCATCAGCATTCAAAGCAGACCTTTTGAAAATGTGGAGCAAAACCAGCTCGTCTCAGTGGCAATAGCATGACCAAGCAAAGCACTAGTGATGGCACTAAGCAAATCTCTAATGTAGTCAATATGAAGTAGCAAAATGAAGGCCTTCATTTGAGGGTGCTCCTGATAGTGACAGCTAGCTTCTCTCTGTAGTGATGTAGACCATAAGCAGCTGACTTTGAAATGATACCTTTACAATGTGGCAGTGATATTATATACATTTTTTGCTACTCACTGTATGGCAAAGCAAACTGTCTTGGCAGTGAGGTAATAAAGTATAAGATGCATTTTCTTTCAAATGAATGTTTTCAAAAAGCTAACTTAAAAAGCATTTTAAAAAATCTTTAGCTACTAAATAACAAAAACTACATGTTTAAAAATATGGCAGTGAGCTAAGATACGTCAAATTACATGTATTTGCACCCCAGTAAAATCACTGAAACTAAGCATTCTGCAATGACAGCATGACCCTACAGTCCCATCTGAGAGAACAAACCACAGGACAGTAGTTAGAGAGTATAGCTGCTACACTGGTGCTGTGTTTCAGGACTGACCAGGAAGGAGCAGAGACACAAAGTAGAATTAGGCAAAATCGCTGCCACTCTCTTGCCCATGGGTCCCTGATCGCTCGTCACAAGTTCGATGACTCAGACAGGACAACATGATCTCGTGCCAGGCCTCACCAGTTGCACTCCTGATACAAATTAAAATACAAACAGACCAATGAACAGAGAAGCTTTGATTGAAGAGACATAAAGCACTGGCAGCATTTAGTTCTGTCCCAACAGCACAAAACAGGCTGACATTTGGACGTAAAATGAGAATTTCACAGTGACCTTGCCTGGTAACATAAAACAAAAAATAAAGAATTTCATTACACCTGATGTTACATTAATGCTTCTTGCAGAAAAAGTCCAAGTTACTGAATTCTCATCAGTGCTCAAAAGTAGCTTCCAACACAACTCACCCACTTGACATTGGTGTGAAAAGCACAGACAAAAACACCATTACAGAAAAGTTGTGTAGAAAAAATATGTGTCTCTGTAGGTCTTTGTGGCTCACAGTAAGAAGCTAGCTGAGAAAACAGGTTTAGACCCTTTAATGCTTTATTAAGTCGCCTAAAATAAAAGTAATCTACCAGCAGTTTCCACTGTTCTTATGGCGGGATGTGATAAAAATGACAATTTTAATGGAGGTGTGTTGATGGGGAACTCTTACAGTAACTCCAAATACAAAACTGGATATGTTGCATACTGAGGTCCTTCCTGGCAGTCTCTTGTATTTGATGATATGCAGCTTCTCAATTGTGTGTTAACCTAATGGCTGATATCCAAATATTTATAGAAATTCAAATGAAATGAATAATTCATTTCATAAAAACAAGAACCATTTGGCCAAATCTCCAGTGGAACATTGATTGTTCCAGCCATGGATGGCATAATGTTTCTAGGAGAGGGATTGTGACAGGAAATTTAAATTCAACATAAAATCCAAAATACAAGCCAGGAACACTGCAACAAAATTCTTAAGACGGTGGAGCAACAAACTCCAACCAAAGAAAAACCTGAGTGGTTTTATACATATATAGAGTATATACAGTATATATATATATATATATGTAAAGCTTCTTATACCTGAACAGTAGCATGAGAGCCTGGAGGAAGGTACGGAAGTTGTTATGGTGATTAATAGCTGTTTCCACATTCAGTTCAATGTTGCCAAACACCTACAGCAGAAACACAGTGAGCTAAATGGATCTGTATCGTCTATCAGTGTGCAATTAATGTTTTCAACATTCAGGTGACATCATTTTACTGGTGAACACCGTTTAATTATCATGACCTTTGTGATAACAGCAGAAAGGCATCACACACCTGCATCCCAATGATGGCATAAATGAAGAACAGCATAGCAATCAACAGGCAAACATACGGCAGGGCCTAAAGGGAACAACAGAAAACAAAAACACACTCAATTATAAACTGAGTTATTCCAGGCATTTTTGTGTTTGTGTGCAGGGAGACACTACATGTATACATTTGTGAAAGTGTGCATGTGGATACTAGTATACAGTACATGCAATATGTATGTGCACTGTATGTCAGTGAGTGTGTGTGAGCACCTTAAAAGACTGGACGAAGGTCCACAGCAGGATACGGATGGTGTAGCCCTGTCTGAGCAGCTTAATGAGCCGAGCGGCTCTGAACAACCTCAGGAAGCTCAGGTTCAGAAGCCTGTCCTGTGAGACACAGACAGGACGTCTAGCACTTACCATCCAAATACTTGTATTACTCACTGATAAATGCACATGTAATAAGTCACTTGAGCTGGTTTCAAATTGTCAGCTGGTGACATGACAACCCCCTTTAACATGGAACCTTGACCAAAGACATATTAGGAGATTATTGGATTAATCTCGAGTTTGTTTCAGCATTTGTAAATTCAGTGGCATATTTATACATCAGGACTATAATTCTACAGTATCTCATGATGTAAAAGAAGCATTTGGCATGGACTAGGTTCAGGTTTTAAGCTTGTCCTAAAACAATACTGGCATGCCCGTCTGTACATTAAATGAATATGTACAATGGCTTTGGTGTTGCAGTAAGTTTACTGCCCATACTGGCTGAAAAGGCTTCTCAAAGCTATGTCAGTATAAGCAATAGAGGACAAAATCCACACTAAAGCACACAGAATATAGGGTTTCAGCACTCTGTGTTTGACGGATCACGTGGGGCTCCTCCACAGTTGTATTTTGTTACAAAATTCCTGTTGTTCAGCAAGAAAACACTTGGGGCTCTATTTTCCTGTAACAGGGCACAGTGTCTAAACTCCAGGCGCAAGGTGAATATGGGCGTGTTCAACAATGTTTTGCAATCTTGGTGACCACAGAAGCAGCGCACAGAGCACAACATGGTGAGCAGGTGGAGTTGGGGCTGGCTTTAGTTCTGTCCAATCAAACCAGCTGCTCTCATCTCCTTTAAAGAGCAGAGAAGAAACCTGACTGACTGATATCTCTGACATGAGGAAAAGGAAATTTTCTTTCCCTGTATCTTCTTCTCCTACCAGTTATATTCCATATTCTGAAATTGTGATGACAAAACGATTTATGCAGAAGTACTGCATACTCAGTATTCTGCTGATATCACTGCCCAGCTTTTGTGCATGAAAGAAAATCTCTCATCCTGTAACCAGCAGCAGTTATATAGAGTAATTTACTCACAGCTGCATCCAGTGTGCGAAATCCATAGGGGTCTCGCATTTAACCTTATAAACTTTCACTGTTTAAAATACTACAATATTGTAATCCCTGCATTTATGGTGAAACTGACTGTGGTTTGCCAGAACGCACAGCTAGTGGATGTGTCGGCCACTTTATCTCCACCTACAGCTGCTTTCAAAGCTGATCAAACAGCCATAAAATGCAAAAACAGACACAATATATATCCTCACTGTAGTGAAGACAGTACGTCTGTGTGAAACTTGTTCCTTTGAAGAAACTGTAACTTAACAGTGACAGCAGCCACAGTGAGGTGACTTGACCTGCTGGGTTACAGGATCAATCTGTCTGTCTGAGGGATGTTTGTTGTGTATCTTGGCTCATGAGCTGCTTTCATGTGTTTTTATGTGTAATTTTTAACATGGATATGGATTCCCAAACACTGACTGCAGATCACCTCTGAATGCTGTAAGAACAGACGGTGCATCCTGACACCCACCACTCTGTTTGACTACATTCATATGTGTAGCCACACAGCGAGGACTAGTTTATTTATCATACATAATAATAATCTTTCTAAATTATCACACATACAGTATTTCAATTCTGCAAATTTCACAATAGCTATACAATTACTCAGGGTGAATATCAGCAGATCAGTTGTGATTTAAGGCTTAATTTTAAGTTGGTGTATCCATTAAAATACATTTAGGTATCTGATCCAGTCCTTCCCAGCCTACACACTTGTCGGCAAAACTGCAAATGCACCTGTGAAGTGATAAGAGCTGGTCTGAGCAGGTGTTGTCGTTATTGCTATTTTGGTTCAAAACAAGCACCAAAACTGCACTGCGCTGTCTAATTAGCAGACGGGGCGCCTTGGCTGCACCTCTCCTCCCACCTCAACGTAAGCACATTCATTCATGGCAGGAAAATACCAAACACCCCAATGTGCAACAAGAAGTAGACATGTGCTCGAGGAAAACTGCACTGCAAATGAGGTGACACAGGAAAATAAAGTCCTTATTGTCAAATGAATTACACTACACTACAGTACACAGAAGGTACATCTGCTGCTCCCATGCATCTAACCACACACACAGTGACACACACAGGTTTCATCTACTCTGTGTTAAAGGTGTCATTCAGTAAATTACACTAAAATGAGCATTGCTTGGCTGGAAAGAAAACCTGCTGACTCTTGGTCCATCATTAACCATGATCGCCTGCCCCTGCTCTGAAACATTCTCATACTGCGATCTAACCTTATTATAACATGCCGCAGTGACCAGAAACAAGCTGTAGCGACCCACTGTAAACAAACCCAACTTTGGACCAAAGAGCACACTGCTGATTCAACATTTCAATCATCACAGTTAGAGTGGTACTGCTGAGCTTGAGAGAACAGTAGTGTGTGCTGCTGGAGGAGCTTTGTGGAGTCTGAGAAATAACCATGATGATATATCTTTAGTGTAATTTTAGTTTGAGCTTGGATGCAACAAAATAGAAAGCCTGTTACACACTGGGTTGCCTGTTTGAAAGGCATGGCTGTTTCCAGTGCAGTGAGGGTCTGGCAAAAGACGCTATAAAGTTGCATTATGGG